TATTCATGAAGTGTTTTTAAAGTCATGTGAAACAAACTCCTGCATCTCTCAACGGGTCTCTCGTTTCTCAGGTGTGGAGGAAGTGTGGCATGCGGATCTTCACGGTGGCTCAGATGGAGGATAACTCGATCCAGATGAAGAAGGACCTGGCAACCTTCCTGTACCACCTCCGGATCGAGGCGGAGGTGGAAGTGGTGGAGATGGTACGCTTGGTCACACTGGTCGAGGGTCTTAGGACCAAGTCGTATTCTTGGTGTATCGGGATGTTCCTCGTGACTTAATCACCGGTTAATAAAACAGAAGTTCAAATTCAGACGAGTTAAAAAGTTAGAAAACACTCAGAAAAACTGTCAACATGGAGCTCAGTGTATTTCAAATAGCATCATCACGTTCTTCAATAGTTACACTGACTGCTGCTGAAATGTTTGGCTGTTTACAACGTGCATTACTCTGCAGGTTTTGCGGAGTGTAGCTAACATTAGGAGTGCTAGCTACCCCGGCCGATATGCTAGTTTAAAATGACACAGGCTGTTTTTTTCCTCTCACTTTTTTGCCTTCATTAGAGAGGACAGTTGAAGAGAAATAGGAAATGTTTGGGAGGGGAAAGCGGGGGATAACATGCCGCAAAGGTCAGAGGTCGGATTCGAACCCACAGCAGCTGCAACGAGGACTGTAGCCTCAGTACAATGGGGCGCACAACCTAACCGCTAGGCTATCAGCGCTCACATTTTTATTTAGTTTCTGAGTTTCTTTTTCTGAGTTAATGTTATAACCTCGATCTACCAGAAGGTCCTTACTGTATTTCAAAATAAAAGCAGCAGAAATAATTCAAACACTCTCTTAGCTTAAGACTGTACAATATTTCAAAATTAAAGTTTAACAATTTATTTTTTTTACTTGTGAAATAATGGAGTTAATAAAGGATTAACTATTCACATTCAGCGATCAATCACAATTTCAAAATGTAATCATTTGACAGCCATAATAAAATATTCTTGTTGTAAAATACCGATGAGAAACCCAAACAACACATCATGTTCATAGTAAAGATACGCTTTAAACCCTGAGTCTGTTCTCCTCGCAGCACAACAGTGACATCAGTGCATACACCTACGAACGGACGCTGATGATGGAGCAGAGGTCTCAGATGCTCCGACAGATGCGCCTCTCTAAATCCGACCGGGAGAAAGAGGTAAGCTCGCTCAGATTCCGACACAGTGTTTAAATAAAGAGCTTAAAGACAGGGGGGTCACAGAAGTGTCTCCACCTGTAGTTTAAAACAAACCCCAGACACTTTAAAGCGACTTCCCACGGTGCATTGCAACTCTTCTTTAAACGACTTTTCAGCAGCACCTGGGGGGGGGGGGGCATTACAAACACAGGGGGTTTTATTTATTTTTGCTAAGTGCTGGTGTGATGTGTTTGTGATTGTCGTGCATCATTTTGTCAGGGATATCCTGGCATCAGCAGCAGTAGGCCAGAGGCAGGTGGAGCTACGAGGTCTCAGGTGAGGTCAGCTGTGAGTTTGATTGAAAAACTGTAGACCATGTGGTGGAGGCAGATCGGAGGTAGAGGCACACGTTGATGTTCTGTAGACACGTTTAGAAGAGCTGACCTGTGATAGACAAACCTCTCTGTGTGTGTTCATGTCCATGTTCGATCTCATTAACTCAGGTAAGCGTTCTGCTTTGGGCAAATTACGATGAAGGAATCAGAAGCTTCTCGGGGGTTACAAACTGGATGCCGACATATCGGCCGATGTCTTAAATCGATGTTTGATCTGTAGAGATACATAGATGTAGATAGTCACATTTATTGCAGTTTTCAAAAGATTTAAAATGAAGACAAGATGGTCACTCAACTGGAGAGTAACTGTGCATCACTGCTGTAATCCATACAGCGCCCTCTGCTGGTGAAAGAGAACTGCTAGTTTAATACAATGAAACTCAAATGAAATGCTTTTTGACTGGTGAATAAATTAAGTTTACGCCGATACCGATGTTCTCTGGATACGCTGATATCGATTTATCGGTCAGGCTCTAGATTTAAATAATTTTGACATTTTAAATCATCCAAACTTTTTCTGAAATGGGGTTTCAGATGTGAAGGGAAGAGAACCTTTCACAGGTTGGAGTCAGCTCCACTGAACCTGGAATCAAAATATGAAGGTCTGATGACACGTCACAGCCTTTCATGTGATCTAATGGATGGACTCTGGATGATGACATCACACCCAGTACAGGATTGTTTTGTGTTCTGCCTCTTTAAATAAACAGCGGTGGGATTTCCTTTTAGCTCTGATCTTCAAGTCTGTGTCATCTTCTTTTTGTCACCTCAGCGGGTACGCTGGAGTTTTGATGATGTAAGTTTGTTTTTCACTTCAGTAAAGAATCAGCTGTAGAGACTCCTCTAGGTAGAGCTCCCTGCAGACGAGAGGTTCTAACATCCCGAAAGGTTTTCCTCTAAATCCTTCAGAAAAAGACTCAAAGATGTGGCTGCATGTTTTGTTTCATGTCGTCATCTTAAAATGTTGCCGATAAAAACACGTCTGACTCGTCATCGCTGCTGGAGGAGGGTCGTCGACCTCCGCTGCAACAAATGTTTACAAAAACTGAGTGTTTGAAACAAACGTCACGTTGTTTTTAGTTCTTTATCTGAAGGATTCAATTAAGTCCAATAAAAAAAGTTGAGATATATTCTGACCCGAGTCGAATGTCCTTCAATAGAAAGCTTTCGTCCGCTTACAGAAACGGCCTTCACGTTGTTTTCACACCTGCAGAAAACTCCAGGAGGGGCTCCTCTCTCCGACTTCACCCGGTTTCCATTTGACTCGGGTCCTCTCATGAAATGTGGCGCTGAAGTTCCCCCCCCCGTAGTTCTCCTCCAGACCCGAGTAGAGTAGAGCAGCTGGTGTTTTGTCTCTGAGAGAGAGAGGGGAGGGGGGGCGAGCGAGCAGAGGTTGAGGAGAAAGAAGGTGGAGATGGAAGAGGAAATGTCTCAGTGTGTTTATCCCACAAACAAACACAAACAGGCCCAGCTGGTGAAAGACCGCAACTCCATGCTGCGGCTGACGAGCATCGGCTCGGACGACGACGACGACGTGGACGCCGCCGAGAGGGAGAAGCCGGTGAGCAGCAGCAGCAGCTCGGAGCACCACCGCAGAGTCCAGATGACCTGGACCAAAGAGAAGTCGTCGCAGTACAGAGCGATGCACTCTGGGTGCTCCACGCCCGAGGGCTTCAGAGACATGCTCAGCATGCGCCCGTGAGTCCCTCAATCCTCAGGGTCAGGAGCGTCCATTTTTAACATACTCAAACTGTTCTTTAAACACGTCGTCTTCTTCTTCTTCTTCTTCTTCTTCTTCTTCTTCTTCTTCTAGGGATCACTCCAACGTCAGGCGGATGCACACGGCCGTCAAGCTCAACGAGGTCATCGTCAATAAATCCCATGATGCTCGGCTGGTGCTGCTCAACATGCCCGGACCCCCGAGGAACACAGATGGAGACGAGAACTGTATCCTTTACAAAGACTTCACCTCAAGATGTTTAATGATGGAGATTTCTTCTTCTGCTCCTCCTCCTCCTCCTCCTCCTCCTCCTCCTTCTTCTTCTTCTCCTCGTCCTTCTTCTTCTTCTTCTCCTTCTTCTTCTTCTTCTTCTTCTCCTCGTCCTTCTTCTTCTCCTCCTCCTCCTCCTACTCCTTCTTCTTCTCCTTCTTCTCCTCCTCCTCCTCCTCCTCCTTCTTCTCCTCCTCCTCCTCCTCCTCCTTCTTCTTCTCCTTCTTCTCCTACTCCTTCTTCTCCTTCTTCTTCTCCTTCTTCTCCTCCTTCTCCTCCTCCTCCTCCTCCTTCTTCTTCTCCTTCTTCTCCTACTCCTTCTTCTCCTACTTCTTCTCCTTCTTCTCCTCCTCCTTCTTCTTCTCCTCGTCCTTCTTCTCCTCCTCCTCCTCCTCCTCCTCCTCCTACTCCTTCTTCTTCTCCTTCTTCTCCTACTCCTTCTTCTCCTTCTTCTCCTACTCCTTCTTCTACTCCTTCTTCTTCTCCTTCTTCTCCTACTCCTTCTCCTTCTTCTCCTACTCCTTCTTCTCCTCCTTCTTCTTCTCCTTCTTCTCCTACTTCTTCTCCTTCTTCTCCTCCTCCTTCTTCTTCTCCTCGTCCTTCTTCTCCTCCTCCTCCTCCTCCTTCTTCTCCTCCTCCTCCTCCTACTCCTTCTTCTTCTCCTTCTTCTCCTACTCCTTCTTCTCCTTCTTCTTCTCCTTCTTCTCCTCCTTCTCCTCTTCCTTCTCCTCCTTCTTCTTCTCCTTCTTCTCCTACTTCTTCTCCTTCTTCTCCTCCTCCTTCTTCTTCTCCTCGTCCTTCTTCTCCTCCTCCTCCTCCTCCTCCTTCTTCTCCTCCTCCTCCTCCTTCTCCTCTTCCTTCTCCTCCTTCTTCTTCTCCTACTCCTTCTTCTCCTACTTCTTCTTCTCCTTCTTCTCCTACTCCTTCTTCTCCTTCTTCTCCTCCTTCTCCTCTTCCTTCTCCTCCTTCTTCTTCTCCTACTCCTTCTTCTCCTACTCCTTCTTCTCCTTCTTCTCCTTCTCCTTCTTCTCCTCCTTCTCCTCTTCCTTCTCCTCCTTCTTCTTCTCCTACTCCTTCTTCTCCTACTTCTTCTTCTCCTTCTTCTCCTCTTCCTTCTCCTCCTTCTTCTTCTCCTTCTCCTCCTCGTCCTTCTCCTCCTCCTTCTCCTTCTTCTTCTTGTCAGCTTTGTAACTTGTTGCTTTTATTAACAGAATCTACGTTGCCATGGTAACGACACAGCTTCTCATCAGATCATCGACCCTCCTTAACTCTGCGATCAGACATGGAGTTCCTCGAGGTCCTGACTGAAGGTCTGGAGCGCGTCCTGTTGGTGAGAGGAGGAGGAAGTGAGGTCATCACCATCTACTCCTGATCGGGAAACGGAGGGAAGCCAGCGTTTAAAAAGAGGCGACCGGGGTCGTGCAGAAGAGAGCGTCATGTGAGCTCTGGCGGCCGGGCGTGGGACAAAAAAAACAAAAAAAAAAGACTGTTAGCATCAGCCACCCCCCTCCCCACATCAGCCCACATCAGCCCACATCAGCCCCCCCCACCCCACATCAGCCCCCCCACCCCACATCAGCCCCCATCAGCCCCCATCAGCCCCCCTCAGCCCCCATCAGCCCCCTTTTCCTTTCATCTCCACACTTCTCTGTCATGACGAGTTTCCATTCCACTCACGACGACACAGACATCGCCGACACGATTCCAGGAACGAGCGAAAAGTGAAAGAGTGAACAGCTGTGTGTGTGTGTGTGTGTGTGTGTGGGGGTCGTGTGGGTCGTGTGTGTTGTCGTCTTTCTCTCCATGAACACACACTCATTCACTCCAACGCTCCAGAAACAAACTGGAAAAAGGAAGTGAAGCCGCTCGACTTGAAATCGTCTTTTTGAAAACAGATGAAAGGAAAACTCTCGTTTCTCGTTTTAAGTGCTCATCACTGAAAATGTTTCCTCTCTTACCTCCGACTGTTTGATCCACACACACATTCAGGTACGTGTGTTTTTCTCTGAACTCGTCACGCCCACTTCTGCCAAGAAAGTAAAAAAAAAAAGATTCATGAAAAGTCAGTCATGATCAAAAAAGGACAAATTATTTTATTTCTAGATTTTAATTTAAAATCATGTCATCATCATGACTATACATTTTAAATGAATCATTGAAAGAAGCAAAGTTTTTTTTTTTTTTTAAATGAAAGGTATGATGTAATCATGACATCATTATTCTCAGAGTCAAAGTCATGATTGAAGACTTTGATTACAATGAATCCAGTCTTGATTCTTTTTCTTGCGTCAGGTGGATTCAGAAGAACAAATGAATTATTAAAGAGAATAACAAACACGGGACATAACGCCGTTACCTCACAGCGAGGAGGTTCCTGGTTCGAATCCCTGTCGGTCAGACCTCCATAGACATTCCAGTTAGGTTAACTGGAGACTCTCAATGACCCGTAGGTGTGAATGTGAGTGTGGCTGATCTGCCCTGTGATTGGCTGGTGGAACAGTTCAGGGTGTAACCCGGCTGATGACAGCGGGGGATCGCGCCCCCCCCGCGACCTCGAACTGGAAAAGCGGTATAGATAATAATGGATGGATGAACATACACGGGTTACAGTAGAACTAAATTCTGATTGGGATTTAATTTAAAAGATAAAATGTAAAATTATGGAGATATAATCAGAATTTGGGGGATTAACTTTTTGGAACAAAATTCTAACTCTGAATGTTTTTTTTTTAATGATTATTTTAGGTACATTTTAAGATTTTGTTCCAGCCTTTGGAGTTTATTGAAGGGGATTCAAAAAATGTGGTGATTGGTGCTCCAATATTTTGGGAACAAATGAAATAATTTAAAATGTTTTTTTGAGATAACTTAAATTGTTTAAGATATTTTGTTATCCCGTTTGATATTTTCTTTTCTCTCGTTTCTTTGACTCGCTCTTTCTCCTCATTTTTTGGTAGAAATGGGCTCGAACACTCATGCTCCATATAATCTCATAAAACACAAACGTGACGTCTGCAGTTCGACATTTTCATCTTTATTTATAAATGTACCAGAACTCCATCAGAGTCCTTGAGGTGCTCGTGAAGGTCTGGAGAGAAGGATTAATAAGAACATGGAGATTTGTGTTGTTGACAAACTGGACCATCGCGGAGAGGACCACTGCACTGCATGCTGTCAGAATATCATCGTCAATCAGAGAGAAGTGTGTGTGTGTGTTGGATAAATGATAAATGTTGTCATCCGTTCCTTCTAATGAGAGTAATCAGCTGCACTCTGATATGTGAGCTCGCTCCCGGAAATATCTCAACTCATCAACCACCTGAACATCACCCGCTGATTCCTGCTGTGTGTGTGTGTGTCTGTGTGTGTGTGTGTGTGTGTGTGTGTGTGTGTCTGTGTGAGAGAGCGCTTGATATCAAGAGAGCGGTAAACTTAGAGGTGTTTGATTCCACTTTTTTTTTTTTTTAATGTGTTATCGTGCAGGGATTCTTTTCTGTTTATTGTTTTTACCTAAACATTTGTTTTCTTGCTTGTACATAAAGACGAGAAAGATCCCAAGTTTTATCTTTTTTTAATTACATTAATATAAAAAGAAAGCATAAAAAACTTTGCTTGAAAAAATACTGGAAGAAATAAAGACATTTTGAAAGAAAATTTACAACTCTGGTGAAACTCTTTTGTATGACCACATAATCACACATTTTATATTTTAAGTACATGATATTAATGATATAGCCTACATATTTATAACATTTAAATAAGTGCATGATTCTTACATTTGAAACTTTTGGCTTGAGACCGGATATTAAAAAAAAAAAGAAAGGCTGAAAGATTTTAACTGGAACAATATGGTTTTTTTTTTAGAAAGTTTAAGAAGTCTATTTTTTAGTCTTATTTTTAATGCTTACTTTTATTTATTCTGTTTTTTTTTTTTTCATTTCGTTTACACAAAAAATAAAAATTATTCCGGAATGACGATGTTCAGATTTCTTCTGCGTGCTGACGTCACTTCCACTTGTACGTACAATCCGGAAGTCGGTTGCCTTGTGATATTTGAGGAAATCCATTCTGGCCGAAGTTCACTTGCAAAAAGTGGAATAAACACAAAATATAATCACTTGTCGGGGGGTGAGCATGGAGGTAAGAGTAGTTGGTATTAGAAACTTGCTGACACAATAAAATAATCACATTTTTCTTGACGTGATAATTAATTACAACATCTTTTGGGTGTCACAAACACAACGATGGCCTTGTTGTCGCGACCGTAACACCGGCTGTCTCATACATTTTACCTTTACCGAATAAGTTACAACAACTTCAACAAACTTCATTTTCTCGCCCAGAATTCATACAATTAAAAGTTTTAATGTTAAATTTAAATTAAACAAATCAATAGTCGGAAACCTCTCATGTACTTAACCAGAGGATCGTATTGGACCGTACCATTGTTAAGAACTGGAGGTGAGTTGGACCGTACCATTGTTAAGAACTGGAGGTGAGTTAAGCTGCCGGGCGCGTGAAATAATTTATGTTTTTTTTAGTTTAATTAAAATAAATAGTTTTTTTAAAGGTATTAATGTGTTTGCTTTGCAGTTACACGCAAACATGTGTCATTAAAACGATGACATTTAAATCAGGTTGTAGATATATTAGAAACATTATATTAAAGATGCTTCCTTTCAGGGCTTTCAAAATAAAAATACAAAAATCTAAAAAAAAAAATTAAAGATCGCCACAATAACTTAATTAAATCATAATTTGAATCAGAAAATTATTATTATTTAATTATTTTAAAATTATTATTATTTAATTATTTTAAAATTATTATTATTTAATTATTTTTAAAATTATTATTATTATTCAATTTAAAAAACAATTATTTAATTATTTTTAAATTATTATTATTTCATTATTTTTAAATTATTATTATTGTAAATACTTAAATAAAAAAGAACTACAGCTTTAAACGCCAAGCTCATTTATGTGAAGTCAAATATTTTGCGTTAGGGTCAAGCCTGTGACATTATTTGATTAATGAGGGCTTGGTTTTATTTACAGAACCCGTTCTTAAATGACCTCAAACATATTTGCATTTCTCTGCTCTGCTTCTTTTTACTCATTATGCCAACAAATGCACCGCTTCCTAAAATAAGCTGAGTTTAAATTGCCTCATACAGTTAACCCCACTGATTTGTTCGGCGAAAATTAAAGTAAAAATAGGATTACCAATTACATGCATATTAATATGATGTTATTTATATAATGTATTTGCCTATTACTTTTGGTATCTAACTACTAAATGATAGATTTCTGCTGTGGTGTGTCACGTTCATGTCTTTGCATAGTTAAGATGGCAACTCACAAATACTGAACATTTGCGAGTCTGTGGAAGATCATATTGGCCCCGAAGATGAAATGTTGCTTTTTAAAAATCCTTTAATGTGAGTGTTAAGAAGATCCTGGTGTGTGGATCTTCTTGCTCCTGTATGTCGTTTTGGATCCAGCACCCTCTAAGGCAGGGGTTCCCAAACTTTTCAGCTTGTGACCCCCATTATGACGTAATAGATACTTGGGACTCCACAATTGACGAACAAGAATAGAATAGAATTACTTTATTGATCCCAAACTGGGAAATTGTTGCGTTACAGCAGCAGGTTGTCCAAACATAATAATAGCAAATAATATAAAAAATTAGCAATTAGCACTAGGTCAAAACACTGGCATTAGAACAGCAAACAATAGCCCAAACAACATCATATTATTTTTGTAATTTATTGTAAGAAACTACTTTTTTTTTACTTAACGTATTTTCAAATTAATGGGTGAAATATCCAATTTTTTTTAAACCATTTTCCATATTTATATGTTTTTGGAAGGAATCTCGCGACCCCCCCTAACAGTCTTCCACGACCCCCCCAGTGAGTCCCAACCCCCAATTTGGGAACCACTGCTCAAAGGGATGTAGCCTACGTGTCTTTTTAAAAATATATATATATTTTCTGTTGTAGCTGTCTGATTTTATTTTGAAAATCATGTTACCAAACATCCGGTGCTGTCTTCGTGTAAACTTGACTGCTTTTGTGCGCTGACTCAATCAATGATCCGTTGCTCGGGGTTTCGATTGAGCAGCCTGGCCCGGGCCAACACGAAGCGATAATATGGGGAGTCGGGTCTGCGCGTCTTTTCTGTCTTTCACCTTTACAGAGTTTATCATCGTTACCTGAAGCTGTCTCCGTTTAACCCGCGCGGCTGTGTTCTCCGTTCACCGCGGCTGTTTGTTCGATGTCGCGTTTGAGGACCGTCCGTCAAACCAGCACCTGGCGTCTGCCGGCGGAGTGAAGAGCGCCGCAGCCTTGCGTCAAAGCCAGCTAAAAGCTAAACCGTGGGTAGGACAAGTCAGCGATAAAGACCGGCAACAGCCACGTTACCCCGAGCTAGCCAGGCAGCCAGCAAGACGGGTTATTTTTGGCACGGTTGCGTTCACATGCTCCGTTTTAGACGCTAGTCCAAACATCTGTGCAGAAGCTGCAAGAAAAAAAACCTTTTGAGTGTATTTTAGGGTTTGTATATCGTCTCACCAGGTACCTGAACACAACTCTGTTTTTAAAGCACAGGTAAAGAAAAAACAGTTAATTGTGATTAATTGCGCAACATCTGGTTTAAAAAAAAGGGGCCTCATATCTAACACATGAGGCCCGGTTGAAAAAAGATGGACCTGAATTTTTATTCGGATTTGACGGACGGTACCGGGCAGCACGACGGGGATCCAGAGTTCCTGGATCCGCATTCATTCAATGGATTTGATTCTGACAACAAGGTGACTCTCTGATTTAATGGTGGTGAACAATCCCTTAAAATGTCTGTCATTGAACGCATCTTGTTTGTAAAGATGTCACCTTTGTTTTCAGTCTAGAGGACACTGAATGAGGTTTATTATTACTGCAGCACCACTTACTCAATGTCTGTGTTGTGATGTTATCATAAAAGGAACAAGATAGTTTTTAAAACAATATATTTGAATGACTAACGCACCTTTTTAATGTTTCAGTTCCCTGGAGGAAGTGACAACTACCTGACAATCTCCGGGTCCAGCCATCCCTTCCTCTCGTCTTCAGAGGTAAACCCTGAAAGATCTGATCAAACAGTTTATGTTTTCTCTCTAAGCAGGTTTTTTATTGCTCGGTATGACTTAAAATTGAAATGATGTTAACCTTATAAATGCTGCTTTCAAGTCCCGTCGTGAAAATGAAAACTAGACCTCCTCCCTTCCCTCTTTCCGTCTTCCCTCCAGACCTTCCACACCCCCAGCCTCGGCGATGAGGAGTTCGAGATCCCCCCGATCTCTCTGGACCCGGACTCGGCCCTCACCGTGTCGGACGTGGTGTCGCACTTCGGCGAGCTGTCGGACACGGGACCCTCGGACAGCGTGGTGGTCCCCGGGAACGCCGTGGTGGAAGGGGACGACCCGTCGTTCGCCTCCACCTTTGTCAACGCCCCCTCGCAGGGGCTTGAGCACCTGAGTCTAGGGGTCATAGGTCACCAGTCGGGAGGCGGCGCTCTGCTGGGGTCGTCACTGGGGATGGTGAGAAGGGCGGGACTTTTAGATTTTAAAGTTCTTTCAGTTTAAATGTCTCTAAATGTTTCTCCGCTCGCAGGACCTCGGCCATCCGATCGGCTCTCAGTTCAGCAGCTCGGTCACCATCGACGTCCCGCTGGGCGACATGAGCCAGGGCCTTCTGGGCTCCAGCCAGCTCACCACCATCGACCAATCGGAGCTCAGCGCTCAGCTGGGGCTCGGCCTGGGAGGAGGGAACATTTTACAACGCTCCCAGTCGCCCGAACACCGGCTGTCGGCCACGGCGTCGCCCACCAGCTCGCTGCAGGACGACGACATGGACGACTTCAGGAGGGTCCGTCTCTAAACGTGTGGAGGTTAATTAGACGATGTCTACGCTCCTGTTTCATTGTTCTCTCTCCTCGTCTCTTCCCATCAGAGCGTCCTGGTCGAGTCCCCCGTCTCCCTGGCCGTCTCCCCCGCCGTCATCTCGCTCGACCCCTCGCTGTCGGCGCCCCCTCTCTCCGCTCCGGCCTCCAGAGAACAACAGAAGAGATACCCCAACGAGCATCAGAAACCCGTGTCGGCCTACGCCCTGTTCTTCAGCGACACGCAGGCGGCCATCAAGGGGCAGAATCCCAACGCCACGTTCGGAGAGGTGTCGAAGATCGTGGCGTCCATGTGGGACAGCCTCGGCGAGGAGCAGAAACAGGTGAGAGAGGACGACGGAGTCAAGAATCTGATTGCAGCCGTGACCTCGCTGTGTCAGCTGGATGAAAGCAGATTCAGTAACCCCGCCCCCCCCCGTTTGACTTTCAGGTTTACAAGAGGAAAAACGAAGCGGCAAAGAAGGATTACTTGAAGGCGATGGCGGAGTACAGAGGTGGACATTTTTCTCAGGTAAGAGGTTCTCCGATACATCAAACAGTCGGATCAAAGGTGAAATGAAAATTGTTTAAAGGAACGCTGAAAGAAGGTCAATGTGTGATGTCACGAGGTCAGTGTGTGATGTCACGAGGTCAGTGTGTGATGTCACGAGGTCAGTGTGTGATGTCACGAGGTCAGTGTGTGATGTCACGAGGTCAGTGTGTGATGTCACGAGGTCAGTGCGTGATGTCATGAGGTCAGTGTGATGTCACGAGGTCAGTGTGTGATGTCACGAGGTCAGTGTGTGATATCACGAGGTCAGTGCGTGATGTCACGAGGTCAGTGTGAGATGTCACGAGGTCAGTGTGTGATGTCATGAGGTCAGTGTGATGTCACGAGGTCAGTGTGTGATGTCACGAGGTCAGTGTGATGTCACGAGGTCAGTGTGTGATGTCATGAGGTCAGTGTGTGATGTCACGAGGTCAGTGTGTGATGTGTGTGATGTCACGAGGTCAGTGTGTGATGTCACGAGGTCAGTGTGTGATGTGTGTGATGTCACGAGGTCAGTGTGTGATGTCACAAGGTCAATGTGTGATGTGTGTGATGTCACAAGGTCAGTGTGTGATGTCATGATGTCAGTGTGATGTCACGAGGTCAGTGTGTGATGTCACGAGGTCAGTGTGTGATGTCACGAGGTCAGTGTGTGATGTCACGAGGTCAGTGTGTGATGTCACGGGGTCAGTGTGTGATGTCACGAGGTCAGTGTGTGATGTCACGAGGTCAGTGTGTGATGTCACGAGGTGGATATGACTCTGGACTCATCGACGTCTGAGAGTTTTGTTAAAGTGAGATGAGGCGTTCAAAGACAGCAGCAGTGTCGTTCTTTTCCATCATTGCGACTATAAGGAGACACTGAGGAGGCTTATCTACGGTGTGCCTGAGGGGACAAAATAGCATGTGATTAATCGTGATTTGCTTTGATTTCAGACCTTACTAATCAGGATGAATGTCTCTACGGGTGTTTGACACGGTTAAGTCAGGATGAATGTGATGTAACTGAGGTTGTAAAGACTCCGCCTCCATCAGACAAACATCCGTCAGTAAAGCTTTAATCTTCACTTCACAGCAGGAGAGATGTTCTAACTTCCTCTCTCTCTTTTCTCTCTTCAGGCTCCGATTGAAGTGATGGACACCTCCCCGTCGCCCCCTCCTCCAGCCCCCGCCCCCTCCATCAAGACCTCCCCCGCCTCCACCCTGTCCACTCGCACCACCCGCTCCCAGCACTACAACCCCGAGGAGAACACCATCACCAACATCTGCACGTCCAACATCATCCTGGACCTCCCCCAGGTCACGACGCGCTCTCGGACTGGCGCCATTAAACCCCAACCCCCACCCGCCCCCTGCAGAACCCCCCCGCCGTCACCAAAATCATCATCAAACAGACACAGCTGCCCTCCGGCGGCGTGTCCGTCACGGCGACGGCCGCCTCCTCGCCGCGGCAGCCTCCGCCCCTCCAGCAGATGCAGAGCAACCCTCCTCCCCCGCGGCTGCAGCAGATGGTGCGTGCTCAGGCTCCGCCCCCTCTGCAGGCCAAACCGCGGGGAGGAGGAGCAGCCGCCGCCGCCAAGGCTCCGCCCCCGCTGCAGATCAAAGTCGTCCCGCCGGCGAGACAGTCGGACGCGAGCGTGCCGATCATCGTGACGTCATCGGGCGACGCGCCCACATCGGTGTCGCTGCTGGGTCTGAGGATGGAGGTCGGTCAGTCGGGCGACGTGGAGGCGGGAGGAGAGGAAGTGGTGGAGGCGGAGGAAGGGGTGAGACTCATGCTCCACAGTGTTGCATTCACTGTCCCAGAAAAGAATCGTAAATGTCTGTATTTGCTACTTTCTGTCCAGATGGAGGTGGAGGTGAACATCGCCCCCGTCCCCAGCATGACCCCCACCGCCGGCCGGAACGTGTGCGTGCGCGCCGGCTGCAACAACCCGGCCGTGGAGAGCAAAGACTGGGACAAAAGAGTACTGCAGCAACGAGTGTGTCGCCAACCACTGCAGGTCTGTTCACAACAACGTGCACGACGACCTCATCTGAAAACACAATGACACAAGATGAGCAAAGACAGAATTATTAATATTATTATTATTTCATTTAAATATATGCACACTTATGTAAATACTGTAATTAACCCATCTGTCACATAACTGCATTTTACTTCTCATGTTACTTCAGCATCTTTTGCACTGTTTCATATTTAATCATATAAATATTAGTCTTTTCTTATCATGTTTATTGTTGATATTTAATGTTGTACTTGTACATAAGAGAGCACACAGAACACCAAAGTTAAATTCCTTGTGTGTGTAAGCATAGCTGTCCAATAAATCTGATTCTGATTCTGACAGAAGAGGAATTGTTTTGTCCCCAGGGGGCGCCAAAATCAACACAAAGCAAAAGTTCCTCAGATGAATTTTCTTCATTGTTGTCTGCATGATTTCAACCGACAGCTGCAAGAGACAATCACATGGTTTATTATTTAATTTAGATAATCAGGGAATTTGTTTCTCAAGGAATCATGAAAAATGCTCTTCAGGACGTTCTTAGATTTTCTTGTTCTGACCATAATTTTATTTATTTATTTATTTATTTATTATTTATTTATTTATTTAGGGACATTGCATATTGATAAACATTTCTGTAAATATAATTTTCATCTCTTGACCCTGGCAAGATTTTATAAAAGGCTCCTTTAAAAAAAACAAAACAAATTCAAACATCGCTAAAAGCTACAAAAATAGAAATATCACGACAGTAATTAAGCAGACACCGGAGAAAATACATAAACCATGCAGGATACACTTAAAGCAGCAATTGGTTCATATATAAAATGTATTATCATGCAGGAGGACAGACATGGAGAAGCACTGAGCAGACATAACAAACAAAACAAGTGTTAGTAAAAGCACGTAGCCAATGATTTCATTGTATGTCAGCGACGACGCTCGTGCATGTAAGTGAGGGGGCGTGGCTTTTGAGGGAGCACAGAGGGGAGAGGGCGGGTGCAGACGGAGCACTGAGGGAATGCTACTTTCAAAAATCATGTTAGTTCTTTTGAAAATGACCGACCCTGCCTTTAAATGAATAATGGTCAAAGCCATTTTTTTTTTTTTTAAATCTGCCTCTACACTTCCATACGTCTAAATAAGGAGTTGAAATGACCTCTCTTGTTGTTGTCTCCTCCACAGAGATGTGTTCATGGCCTGGTGTTCCATCCGAGGGCAGAACTCCACCACCGTCACATAGGGAAGAAGAAAAACTGACGAGCAACAAAAAAAAAAAAAAAAAACTCGCCAGTTTATACGCTTCACGGAGAGGAAACACGGACAAGGAACAGAAAATAAATAAAAATTAACACGAAGGAATGAATGGTCAGGCTCAGGTATCGGCACATAATCATGAGGGGAAAAAACTAAGAGGAAGACGCACCTGCAGGGGAGAAAGAAAAAGCTGAAAGTCACTAAGATGCTTTTTTTTTTTTTTTTTTTCTGGGATCGATTAACCTCCCCTGAGGACACAAATAATGCAACAGAGGAAACTAAAGACTGGACTCTGACTTCCCTAATGATCCTCTCTATTGGGAATCTGCATCACAGACTTCTATATATATACAAATATATACATAAATATATCAAATGGATCATTTTTTATGGACTTGGTGTGTTTTTAATTGTCATGAAAAGATGAAAAAGAGCAGGAAATCATGACCCTGCAGATAAATTCAGCTTCTTGGATCTTCCCATCACGGTCGCATCGAGGACTGATTCACGTCAAAGGGACGGACGAGCAACGAGCTGGACGAAGCACAAACAGTCTTAAAGGTTCGTTTGGAGGCGAGGTGTTTGAGCCGCTCGAAGACAAAAACGATCGTTGAAACCATGCGAGAGGAAACTTTCCAAACAGGTGCTAACATTCAGGAAACTACAAACGGTTTCCTCAGTTCTCATTTTTTCTGCCGAGTCACCTGAAAAACAACAACACGAGAGTTTTAAAGGTGCATCTTTTGTTTTATGACAAACTTTTGTGGTGTAATGTGTTTGAGGGGGGAAAAAAGAAGAAAATATATGAAATAAAGACACCAGCTTCAACAACACTTCTGTAAGGGGGGCAGGGGGGGGTTAAGGGAATCCAGTGTAAAAGCTTTACTTTTTAACATGACGGTGTTTTAATTTAAAGAGCTGCCTTCAGGGCGGTTTGATGACGGAGGACAGGACGGTCGATGATGCAGTGATCATGCTGGTTGATTGTAAATATCCTGGAAATGTTTGTAATTGTGAAATAAAATATTTTATGTTTTAATATACATTTTTTGGGACGCACGTTTTGGCTTCACAAAGACAAGCTGCAGTGACGTTTATTTGTTTTTTTACTCAATGATCAAACAGAATCAGTGCTGATGGATATTTTACATGAATTTAAACTTTCACTGAGAATTAATTTGGTTTCTCTAAATATCTTGAAGGATTAGGAGATTTTAAATCTTCATAGAAGTTTTAAGCTCATTGGGGTGCAGATGGCCTAGCGGTTCGGATGCCCCCCTAATGGATGGAGTCTTCCAAGCAGGTGTCCCGGGTTCAAGTCCGGCCTGTGGCTCCTTTCCTACATGTCACCCCCTCCCACTCTCTCTCACACTGTTTTCCTTTCCTTTCAAAATAAGTCAAAAAGCCCAAAAGCTTTTGAATATTAAACTGAAGTGTTTTCATCTTTGTCTGGGAGAATAATTATTTTTTCCTCATTTTTAATGTCATTGATTAAAAACGCCAAATAAAACCACACTTTTTAAAAAAAGTGTGTAATAAAACTCAAACTTTATTCCCAAAGATTATAAAGAAAGACTTTTCTTCTTCTTCTTCTTCTTCTTCTTCTTCTTCTTCTTTTAGACATCCCGGCACTTTAGACCACATCTGGGCGAATCACTGCCCTCCACAGGCGCGCTTTTCTATCGCGAGATTGACGTCGGTGCAAAGTTTGATGACGATGGCGGGAAAGGCCACCATGGCGGGAAAAAGCAGCGTGGACCACAACTAGTGAGAGGAGGCGCTGTTGCGCAGTGCTCGCCCTGCACAACTGCAAAACTACAAAACTGCACTGAAAATGCGCCACAAAAACCATCACGTCCATTTATAAAACACGGATTAAAGGAGAACGAGAAGAAGAATTGTTTTAATTGTTTTTAATTTAAATGAAGAAATCTTTATGGTAAAATAGTGTTTCTTATGAAAGCTGATATGTGAAGACTCAGGAGGAGGAGGGGGAGGGAGAAGGAGCCGAGGAGGAAGGGAAAGGAAGGAAGGAGGGAGGGAGGGAGTAAGGAAGGACGGACTAATTACAGCAGATTGGTGTGTGCGTGGTTAAGGTGGAGAAAAGCCAGATTACGGTGCATTATATGTTTAAAAAAATAAGATTTGTTTTAAAGCGGATGGATTTGTGAGGTTTGTGTTGCATAAGGAAAAAGGCCTTTATTAAAGGAGGTGTGTGTGTGTGTGTGTGTGTGTGTGTGTGTGTGTGTGAAGCAGGCGGGGAGAGAAAGTGCGTTATTGTTGGTTGACACTGATCATCATCATCATCATCATCATCCTCCTCATCCGGCCCGCGGAGCAGCGAAGAAGAAGCCGGGAGCTGGAGTTTGAACACGGGACTCACCATGGCGGTAAACCTAGACAAGGACGCGTATTACCGCCGGATCAAGAGGCTGTACGGCAACTGGAAGGTAAAGGCTGCTCGATTCGGCGTTAAAAAAATGTATTTCCGTGAGTTAAAGATGTTAAAAAAGTGAGCTGCTGGAGGAAAGCCCCCCCCCCACACACACACACACTACAGAAAGCTAGCGGAGCGAGCTGACAGTGTTGTCGGCGTGAGCGGTGCTGATTCCCCGCATGACAAAGCACCGACACCCGGGGTCGCATGGAGGGCCTCACTCACCTTTAAACCACTTTTTTTTTTTTTTCTTCTTTTAAATCCGCTCTGATTCTCTCACACAACCCCGAACTTACTCCCCCCCCTCTCTCTCTCTCCCCCCCTCTCTCTCTTTAACTATAACGCAGCGCTAACTCATGTTAGGCTAATCAACCCATTCACCGCGTTAGCATGCCAGCTAACTAGCCTGCTCGATAGGGAAGTTTGTGCTGGCTGACTTGGCAGTAAAGCAGCTGAAATGCGCGATGAATCAGCGTGTGTTCATTCAACAAGCACACGGTGACTCTAAAAAGCAAGGTGTGATTCTCTTAACTCTGCTGAAGTGTTTAATGTGTCGCTGTATGCTAATGTTAGCACGCTAATTAGCATCAGCATCACAGCAACGTGTGCAGGATGTGCTGCAGGATTTACTTGATTTGATCACAAGTCTTTTTTTTTTTTTTGTCCCCGTGTGTTTGAGGTAACTTTAGGGAATGTGTGGCAACTTTTCAAAGGGGGTTTTCATCTTTTCTTGTTGTGTTTTCTGTGATATTGTGGCTAAAAACATGAATTCAAGCAGCCTGACAACAAAGCACTGCTCACATTCATCCTGCTCAACACTAAAAAGTTTGACTTAAAGACTTTTTGAGACATGCAGCTCCTCTGTGTGTTTCAGCATCAGGTGTGGATGTTGCCAACTTCACACAGATGCTCCCAAACTCAGGCGTCTCCTCTCCTCTCATTCATTGTTCTGTGTGTTTGTGTGTTTGTGTGTTTGTGTGTTGTTGTTGTTTCAGAAAGCAGAAGATGAGTTTGGCAAAGTGGACGCCATCGTGGTGTCTGTCGGAGTGGACGAGGAGATTGTTTACGCCAAGTCCACGGCCATACAGGTAACCCACGCGTCCCATCAGAAGCAGCAGCATCGCTCAGACGTCCCCGATGAGACGCTGTGACGTTTGTTTTTCTTGTTCTTCATCAGACTTGGCTCTTCGGCTACGAGCTGACGGACACCATCATGGTGTTCTGCGACACCAAGATCATCTTCCTCGCCAGCAAGAAGAAGGTGGATTTCCTCAAGCAGGTCGCCATCACGAAGGGCAACGAGAACGCCAACGGAGTCCCGCCCATCACCCTGCTCACCAGAGAAAAGGTGAAAAGGCCTCAAACACATCTTCTTCTTCTTCTTCTTCTTCTTCTTCTTCTTCTTCTTGTTCGGTGCAGATTTTCCCCCCTGTTCTCATGACTCACTGACTTCAGTCGGCGTGATCACACTTCAGCGCTCACAGAATTTACCGCCGTGCATCGCCGGCTGCTTTATAAATATTCCCAATTTGAATATATTTTTATTTCATTTCATATTTTATTTATTTGCTCATTTCAGTGTTTTGGTTTCAACACAATAAAACACAACAAATGTTTTCTCATAATGCTGAAACATTGTTCATGAGCAGGAAGAAGAAAACTTAAACCCCCCCGTTCTTAATAACACAAGATACTGTTTAACAGAATAAGATGACTAACATGTTGTTTTAATAAATCAACAATATAGAAACAATCAGATTAACTCGATACATCAGATCCTTCTCTTTATACATTCTTTTAAATTGAATGAGTCGAGCAGCAGCCAGGTGATGGAGGGCTTTGTAGGTCATGATGAGGAGTCTGATGTACAGAAAACAACAAAGCATTTATCTGTCCCATTTTTCTTTTTTGACATTTTTTTAAATATACTCTATATCCCAGAAAGAAACATTTTTATTTCCAGTATAGATCAGCCCTCATTGAAATATAATAAATGACTAAAGCAAGAAGTTGAACTGTTGTGCTTGATCACAAATCCATAAATAAAGAAACGTCCGGAGGGAGGAAAGTTCAAATGTGCTCATCGTGAACTCTTCAGATCAGTTCACACTCTTAAAGCCGTCTTTGTTTGTGCCTCTCAGAACGAAAGCAACAAAGCCAACTTCGACAAGATGATCGAGGCGATCCGAGGCAGCAAAGAAGGGAAGACGGTCGGCATCTTCAGCAAGGACAAATTCCCCGGAGAGTACATGAAGAGCTGGAGCGACACCATCACCGCCGAGGGCCTGGAGAAGGTAAGACGGCGTCTCGAGTTACAGCTTGAATCAAGGAGTTTGGGAGTGTTTTTTTTTATTAAGCCCCGCCTCTGACCTCTGCAGGTGGACATCAGCGCTGTGGTCGCGTACACGATGGCGGTGAAAGAGGAGGGCGAGCTGTCCCTGATGAAGAAGGCGGCGGCCATCACCAGCGAGGTTTACTCCAAGTTCTTCAAAGAGCGCGTGATGGAGATCGTCGACGCAGACGAGGTGAGGAGCGTTGAAACGACTCGTCCTGAAGGGGACTTTAAAGTTCTCATGGATTCAGTTTTCAGATGTTCTGACTCCCCCCCTCCTCTCTCCTCTCTCTCTCTCGTGTCCTACAGAAGTGCGTCACAGCAAGCTGGCGGAGTCGGTGGAGAAGGCGATCGAGGAGAAGAAGTACCTGGGCGGAGCGGATCCGTCCACCGTGGAGATGTGTTACCCTCCCATCATCCAGAGCGGAGGAAACTACAGCCTCAAGTTCAGCGTCGTCAGGTAGAATCTCCTGCTCGGCAGGGACACACTCAACACCTCCAAAATGTGTTTGAAGCGGGGAATACGTTTCCGTCTGTCACCTGTGGAGAATATATTATTTGCAAGTCGTTCAAGTTGCAAGCTCGGCAAAATATATATATATACATTTTTTTTAAAGATTTCTTTCTGGTGGCTTTTAGCTTTTATTTTGAAAGGACAGTGGATAAAGTAGGAAATCTTGACGAGGGAGAGCGAGGTGTGACATTTCTGAAAGGCAACCACAGGTCGGGCTTGAAGCCAGGCGTCCCGCTTAGAGGGCTACACCTCCGTACGTGGAGAGGGGGTCGGGGGTGGGACCGCCAGACCAGCTGCCCCCCAATCAGAGAATATTTTTCAGACGCTGAACTACAGCGAAGAAGACCGCGAGCAAGACGTCTTTAAAATGAATTCTTCTGGCCACTAGAAGGTTCTGACTTGTGTTTAATTCATCATCGGGTTTGGACAAAGAGACTCGTCAAATCTCCACTTTAGAGAACGTGGAATGGGGATGATTATCTGGGAAGAAAAAAACGTTTTTAAGAAAAAACATTCGGCAATAAAAAATAAAATTTACATGGAGAAAAAAAACACGTTTAAGATGATCTAAAAAAAGGTCATTTCTGTGATGCTATATTTCTTCCTGACCCCAAAAAAATGCAGCAGACGCGTCGGTAGCTTGGCGGTTATGTTGCACGCCACATGTACAGAGGCTGTGCGGCGGCCGTGGGTTCGAATCCGACCTCTGCCCTTTTCGGCATCATCCCCCCCCCACTCTCTCCTCCCGTCACTTCCTGTC